CCATGTGACCTGGTACTCCGCTGGCGGCACTATAGACTAAAGGCAGAGTTACAGTGAGAACATCTGGTTCTGAACAAAGCTGGGCAGAAGGAAAGGGGAGAGGAGTAGAACCTGTAGAAATTTCAAGATAGAAAAACACAGCACTTTGCTTGAACCCAGGAGGTGGAGGTTGCACAATGGCTGAGACCACACCATTGCACTCCAGCCTAAGCAACGACGGTGAAATTCTGTCTTAAAACAACAAAAACAATAATAATCATAACCACAATCACAGCACTATGTTTCTGAGGACGTTTTCGTTGTTAAAAAGAGAAAAAAAAAAGCCTTGGGAAATTTTTAGAAATGTGATCTATAATGACAAAGTGTGGTATATTGTATTACTGTTCCAAATGACTCCCAGCCCTCCTGGTAAAAGAATTACACATCCCTGCCTATCGCCACATCACATGAAACGCCTGTAGTAAGAAGGAATATAATTTCTGACCCTACTGACATCAGGCTTGGCTGTGTGACTTGCTTTGGCCAATTAAGTGTGAACAAAGTGACATATGCCAATCTGGGCAACAGTTTTAAGAAGGTCCTGCACGGTTCGCTTTCTTTTGTTCTACTCTGCCACAGTATTAGCGAGTCCCAGGTAGTGGTTGTTCCTTTCATCTTGAAGTCATACGGTACAGGGCCACAGGAAACCTCAGCTGACATGTAACATCAGAGAGGTATTTCTGTCGTTTCTAGCCATTGAACATTTAAGGTTGCTACTGCTGCTTCATGGAGCATAAGCAGACTCACACGCAAAGCAGTTCCTTTAAGATGAACCTAGATTATTATCCACCCTACAATCGATACTCATCAATTATCTTCTATCCTGTAGTCGTATGAATTTCTTGCAAGTACAGTTCTGATCACGTAGCTTTTCTATACAAAGATCCTAAATGATCTTCACAGCCTACCAAGTTCAGACTCCCAACCCTCTGTAAACTACATACTCTTCCAGTTTTTTAAAACGTAATCTTCCTTTCATGTACTCTATACTCTAACCATGGTGTGCAACTTATTTCTAATATATCAATTATTTTGTTTGTCTTTCATTACACTTTACGTACATCTTTTTTTTTTTTTTTTTTTTTTTTTTGAGATGGAGTCTTGCGCTTGTTGCCCAGGCTGAAGTGTGGTCGCAGGATCTCGGCTCATTGCAACCTCTATCTCCCAGGTTCAAGCGATTCTCCTGCCTCAGCCTCCTGACTAGCTGGGATTACAGGCACCCACCACCATGCCCAGCTCTTTTTTGTATTTTTAGTAGAGACAGGGTTTCACCATGTTGGCCAGGCTGTTCTCGAACTCCTGACCTCAGGTGATCCATCCACCTCAGCCTCCCAAAGTGCTGGGATTACAGGTGTGAGCTATTGGGTCCGGCTTCTACATCTTGATTCTTAACCTAAATTTCTGCCCTTTGAAAACCTATCCATACCTGCAGGCCTCCTGAAGCTCCATGTTTAGCTACGAAGCCTTCTTCCTCTGAAGACACAAGACACAAAGTACTGAAGGAGTGAACGTTGATGTTACCATAATCTATTTTCCATTATTTAGATTATAGTATATCTAATCTTCCTCATCCCGTTATGAATTCTAGAAAACAAGAACTACTAGTTTAATCACTCTCGAGCCCCACAAACTCCACGTACAATACTCTTCACAGAAAGTTTTCATTTAATGTTTGCCAAATTAATACATTCTGAATGGATAAGTAAAAATAATTCCTAGGAAAAATGCATAGCTAAAAGGTTATGCTGTCACTGAGTTCACGCAGCTGCAGCACTCTTGGGCCCAGATATAAAAGCTAAAGTGTAAAAGATCAAGATAAGTCTGCTGCATTTGACTGGGTAATGAAATAAGCAAAAGCCTTAGGAAGCATACTGAAAGGTGCTCAGTACTAAGCCATGTGTTTGATCTAAAACAGAGCTATCCAATAGGAATACAATGCTAGCCACATAAATAATTTAAAATGTTTTTGTAGAGACATTGAAAAGTAAAAAGAAGCCCTCATGCCTGTAATCCCAGCACTTTGGGAGGCCAAAGCAGGCAGATTACTTAAGGCCAGGAGTTCGAGAACAGCTTGGCCAATATTGTGAAACTCTGTCTCTACTGAAAAATACAAAAATTTAGCTGTGCATGGTGGCACATGCCTATAGTCCCAGCTACTTGGGAGGCTGAGGTGAAAGAATTGCTTGAACCCAGGAGGTGGAGGTTGTGGTGAGCTGAGATTGCACCACTGCACTCCAGCCTGAGTGACAGAGTGAGACCCTGTTTCAAAAAAAAAAAAAAGTAAAGAGAAATAATTTAACAATATATTTAACCCAATATATAAACAATATCTCATTCTTTTTCTTTCTTGTACCAAGCCTTCTAAATCTAGCTATATTTTGCACTTACAATACATCTCAAGAAACACCGGCCACATAGCATATGCTCATAAACCATTTGTGGCTAAATGGCTATGGTATTGAACGTACAGGTCTAGAACTCACCTCACAGAGCTTTCATCCTGCGAATTTCACAAATATTTTGCTTCTTGTGGTCTTTAATACAATTAATTTTCTACTATATTGCGTACATACCAATCATCCCTTGGTATATGTGGGGACCCCCATATATACCAAAATCCACACAGACTCCAGTCCTACTCTGTTCGTCCCCTGGAACCTACCTATATGAAAAGCTGGTCCTCTGTATACATGGCTTTCACGTCTCGAGAATACTCTATTTTTAATCTGCATTTGGTTGAAAAAAAAAATCTGTGCATAAGTGGACCTGGGCAGTTCAAACCTGTGTTGTTCAGGGGTCAACTCTATTCCCCTCCCCTAACCCCATTAGAATGCTAGGACTGGGTATGACTCATGCAGCAGCTATCCACTGCCCAGAATAATTATTTGTTAAATCGAATCAACCAGACTTCTCTGATGCTTTTGCTGATTACTGATGCCCAAATCTCATCGTTTTAAACAAAATTTTATTCTTATATAATCATCATTAAAAGCGCCTTTCCCTTTCCCATCTTCTTTCAACATTTACAGTTTCTATGAGGAAGGGCCTGTGTCTACTTAGTGTCTGTCTTTATTTGATTCTATTGTGTCATTTATTTGATTTCAAGATGATTTTTATGCTTTCCAGATGTGCCTTATGGCATGCATACATGCACTGTTTCTTTTAACATCATGATTCAGCTTTAATTTTATTTTGAAAATTTCATGACACATCTTAGGAACAATCAACAGGATATCCAGCAAATATGTAACCACTAGGCTATGTATAATCACTACAAAGTGACAAGCATATTCCTGTGTACAAAGCAATCGTGATTTTAAAAAATGTTTTTGTGTCTCTTTTTCATTTCAGTGCTTTTCCTCCACTAAGTAGGCATATGTGGAGCTGCACACTATTTCACTGGTATTTTTCTGTGGGGAAATACTTAAATATCCTACGAGACTGACTGTTCTGAAACTCTGGAGAACCAACAGGAAAAGGGAAGTAAAAGCTAGATAAAGAGGACTCATATGTTCCAGCAGAGACCAATTTTAGGGATTATACCTACATTGACAACTGCTCACGGAGAATCTCCTGATTCCCTAGATTTGGCCAGAATGCCACTGCCAATACTTTTCTAATATTATGTATTTCCTCTTTATTAATATACTTGTTCAACACATGCCTTCCTTGCTAAAGTTGAACTCTTAGTGCCAAAAACAGTGTCTTCAATCAGCATAAAGCATGAAGCAGCATTTTAGTGGGTTTCCATAATCCACAAGCTAAGATGGACTGTTCTTCATAACCCCGGGGGAAAGTAAGCTTTGTCTTTTCTGGATTCCATATCGTCACCCAAACTTGTCTTAGATTCCGACCATACAGTTTGTGTAGGGAAAGCCTGTTCTAATCCTTTCTCAAGAACCACAACCATCAGTATCACTGGCCAGAAGCTGGTCAGATTTCTCATTCCTTTGGGTGCTAAGTGTCCCTCTGATACTCAACGAAATGCTCACCAGTAACAAAACCAATCTTTAGTTATTCAGGGGCTGGTCATTCAGATTCCTTACTTCTCATATTCCCCCACTTCCCTCTTCTAGCTATTCTTTAACTTCCGGGCTTCTCACTGGTAAAGATGCCATCAAAGTTTGGCCAGAGCAGGTGGGATAAAAACTAACTAGTGGCCCTTGTGATGGGCTAGGGACTCCAATGAGGCATATAAACTAGTGGCCCTTGTGATGGGCTAGGGACTCCAATGAGGCATATAAACTAGTGGCCCTTGTGATGGGCTAGGGACTCCAATGAGGCATATAAACTAGTGGCCCTTGTGATGGGCTAGGGACTCCAATGAGGCATATAAACTAGTGGCCCTTGTGATGGGCTAGGGACTCCAATGAGGCATATAAACTAGTGGCCCTTGTGATGGGCTAGGAACTCCAATGAGGCATATAAAGTTGGTAGAATGTTGAATATCTATTTAAAAGTGTGAAGAACTTTTCCAGTCATAAAAACTATTCTTAGAGGGGCACAGAAAAAGACCGTTTGTCTAATCAGTAATCACAGTTACCAACTGCTATCCTATGATATTACCATGTTTGCTCCTCTACTTTCCAGAGTGTTGATACTGTGTAGTTCCAGCTCTTCCATTCACTCAATCTGAGAGTTGGCACACGCTGTTTCCTTTCTCTGAGTCTCATTTTATCATCGAAAAAATAGAAACAATAACCTGACAGGTTTGCTTTGAAGATTACGGCATTTATTCCGGAATGAAATAATATGTGAAAGTGCTTTGTCAACATAGAGTGACACTCTAATTTCATGTTAATACTGATATTAATTGTTTGATCGTGATATGAGTTTTAAATTAGGATGCTGTTTTAGTCCTCAATGAGACAGACGTTCTACATGGGTTACGGTGGTGAGTTAAATCCTGGATTTTTGCACACTAAGCCAGTATACTTGCCAAATTTCATATTACTGCTTACCTTGGGAGGTTTCCTTAATGATGGAAAAAAATTCAGCAGCAGGGATACAGAGGGGTGTCAACACAGCAGCCACATCAGAGGGAAACAATGAAAGAGAAAAAACACAAGGTAAATTCAGCACGTTGATAACATGATCTGGAAGATATTCTTCTTCATGAAGGTCAGAAGCCAAATTCAAACACATTACTGACTGAAGGGATCAGCTCTTAATATGTGTTCAAAAACATGGCATGGGCATAATGAATTTCTCTCTTGGTTGCATGGAATGGATTCAGTCATTCAGTTATTTTTAACGATTTTTTTAAAATGCCAATGGAAGAGCATCACGATAAAGAAAGATGCCACAATCCTTACTGCATGTGATCAAATATTTTTACATCAATTTTTATACTTAAATTCTTGTTAAAATATATGTATATTTTCCTTTGATAAATATATATATTCTAATATATGTGGGAGTTATTCTCATTTAAAAACCATGGTTTTAAATAACTCATGTATTTTAACACTGAAGAGACATTTAAAAGCAAGTTTCCATTTTCTCCCCACCATCAACCACACATGCACTTGTTAAAAGGTTTGTTTTTACACGTCAGTACTTCAGAAATGACTGAAATTGCACCTGGAAAAAAACTCTGAAAAGGAACTAGTTTTCTTTCCTTTTTTTTCTCCAGAGATGGGGTCTCACTCTGTTGTCCAGGATGGAGTACAGTGGTGTGATCATGGCTCACTGCAACCTTGAACTCCTGGGCTCAACTGATCCTCCTACCTCAGCCTCCTGAATAATTTGGACTACGGGTGTGTGCCACCACACCTGGGTAATTTTTACTTTCTTAAGAGACACAATATTAAGAGTTTCTCACCATGCTGACCCAGGATGGTCTCAAACTCTTGACCTCAGGCAATCCCCGCCCCCCCCCCCTCAGCTTCCCAAAGTGCTGGGATTATAGGTGTGAACCACTGCGTTTGGCTAGGAAACAGCTTTCAAAGCAATAAAATTAGGTTGACTTGCTTTATGAATACTTTCCTCATGTGCAAAATTAAGAAGCTCGATTATGATTTCTAAGGTATGCAATCCTATGACAATTCTTGGCCTTACTGATAGTTATTCTTAATTAACCTCTGATATCCTCAATTCAAAAACTGTAAAATTACCGTAAAAAAGAAGTGGGGGCATTTACCCCTTGGCTTTAATCCTTCTTCAGAGGAAACAGAATCATGGGGGTAAGAAAATAGATTTTCCAGTGCAGAGGGCATGGAAAGGTACAGGCAAAAACAGCAGGATGCCTTTTCTCCATCACTGGGTGTGACACTCCTTACAGAGAGACTAGAACACAACCGAGAGCTCAGTAGCAGGGAAAAGAATGTCTAATCGCATGCATGATTCTACACTTTTGAATGCAGGGAAGAAAAATCATATCGTTCCTATAATGATGAAGTTGAAACATCATTTTCTCGAAATTCCACAAATGAGCTGAAAGGAAATGTGCCTTTAAGTTGTTCCCTCAGACATGCACAATGGGAATGTGATTTTTATCTTCAGGTTTTAGAGGGGAACTAGAATAACTGGTATCTCTGGCCGTTAACAAGCAAGTCGCAACGTATTTGTGTATCTACCCTTTAAAATAAGAAAAACACTTACAGAGGCTATAAATAAAAATGGACAAGTGTTTTTAATTCTAAGCAAGTCATGGATTTCCATTCTGTACAAAAAATGAGATTTCTGCCATGAAAATTTCCTTAAGTGCAACACTATTCAGGAAGGCCTCAGTTTTAAGTAGGTAGAACAATAATAAAACTTATGAACCACATTTTTGACTAAGCCTTCTCATTTTGCTTGCTTTATTCTTTAAAAGCCATGTAAATCACTGTTTTATTTAACAAAGGAAAGAAAAGTCACTTGGGTTACAATGAGGCCATTATATGAAACAGCACGAACCAACAGCAATTAAATATAGGTTTCTCATGTATGCTATGATGAACCCAGTAACCCAACGGGGCTGGGACAGACTAGGGGAACCCCAGTAAGCTCTCTGAAGTTCTCAGATGCACCCTTTACATCACAGCCACAGCACAATAATCACCACCAGCGGCAATGAACCAGGGCTGGCTGCCAGCCTGCAGTACATTCACCTTCTTAGTGGTCAATAACAATATTACCCTTTCTTCACTGACATTCCAAGAAAGTTTTCTTCATTCTTCTTAGAAAACCAATCCTATTTCAGCATTTTAAGCACTTTAAAAGTCTTTCTCACTTAGAAGATAGCCCACTACATGAGAATACCAACATAATTCTGCTACCTTCTTTTGTGTTTCTGAGTCAAGATTGCTTGTTAAGAATAAATGGAGACTGGGCAAAAAAAAGAAAAAAGGGAAGCCACAAAGCTCATCTGTTGCTACCCAAACTTACTCATCATTCGGTTTAGAACAAGGATCCTTGCTGCAGAAGGAAAAGTAAATCCTGTAGTGCATTACAACTGTATTTTTGGAAAAACCTTTCTTGAGGTGTGAATGAGGTGATGGGCTGCTCACTCATCCTAATTCAGACTCAAGGTTACTGCCCCAAACTCCAGGGACTATATGTCATTCTTTGGTAGTTGTGAAGAACAATGTTTCCAGAATCAGTAATACTGACACTATAATCAAATACAGTATGCTACCCTTGCTATCCTTTGGTGAGAGTAGGGAGGGGAACTCATCTGATATTACATTGTAAAAATAAAAGATTTCATATACATATAAAATCTTATCTTTATCTTCATCCTTTTCATATATATAAACTATTAAATTTAACAGGCTGAGATGGCTTCAAGGTCCTGGATTTCTACACAAACAAAACAAAACTTAAACTTGGCCAATCACCAGCAGCCAACTGAGCATTAGTTATATAATCAAGAATTTTCCCCTGAGACAGTATAAATAACACAACTGCTCAAACTTTAACCCATCAAATAATTTATTTGCTTTCCTTCTGAGTTTACCCTACAAAAGCTTTCACTTCATGCTTCTTCAGTGGAGCCCTAAACTCCTTCCAGTTTGGAGCTGCCCAATTCATGAATCACTATTTGCACAAATAAATTCTTTAAAATTTTAATGTGCCGAGTTCATTTATTAACAATATGAAAAAAACGTAATGAGAATGAATAATATAAACATCTATCAGATTCAACATAAATCATACTAAACACATATTTTAAAAATTTGGGCTGGGCACGATGGCATGTGCCTGTAATCCCAGCTACTAGGGAGGCTGAGGCATGAGAATCGCTTGAACCTAGGAGGCAGATTGCAATGAGCCAAGATCATGCCAATGCACTCCAGCCTGGGTGACAGAGCAAGACTCCACCTCAAAAAAAAAAAAAAATTATAGCTTTTTGTTGGTTGTTATCAATCAAGGCCATGACTCGACTAGTCAAGTAAAGATGACATACCTGTGTGGTTTCATTACGGAAAGAGGCAATGATTTTGCTCAGTAAATATCTAGGGAGCTAAAAATGAACATCCCTTTAAACAGACCTAACTGACCCCAACACAGAGGTGTGGTTGCTGACTCCTTAGAAAACAGCACTTCACTGACACTTGCCTGAAGGTGCATTTATTTCTAACCACTCTCAAGTGTTCATCCTCCCCTTCATTCTCCAAAACAGCCTTGTTTTTAATCATGTGGACTTCTCTAAATATTCAAGTATTAGTTCTTTTGTATATTCCAAAGAAATAAACTAAATACAATTTGACATTTTAGAAGACATTCTAGGTCCCAGGATTTGGAGAGAAAGTAAGGAGGGGCAGTTCTTATTTTCTACATTGACAGCAGTCCTATTTTTGCAAAACACTGCAGCTCCCCTTCCCTCCTAGCACAAGCAGGTTGATCTCTTCCAGGTCACCCACAGCATGAGTTTATACAACACAACTCATGCAGCTTATGTGCCTTTATCCCACTTTGTCTTTCCCCTCTGCCTGATCATACCTGCCCACTCTTGAAGACACAGTTCAAGGCTTAACTCTCTCAATTCCTCAGCAGCCTTTGAGACTACCTTGCATTTACTACTTCTAATAACCCAAGATTCGTAGGGTCGACAAAATAGCTTAGCACTTACTGGCACACGAAAAGTTCTGTTGCCTTCAGTAACTTTGTCTGCATTTGAGTCTCATATATCTTTAAGATTTAAACCACTTGAAAACAGAGGCCAGGTCACATGGTATAAAATCCCCATCCGCAAGCCCATCTATTCATGTAGGGCTGAGTACAGTGTAAGAACTCAGAAATAATTTTTTTTATGTTAGTGAGTTAAACATAATCCAGTTGTGAGGGTTTACTGAAATTACTACCACAATCCTGCAATTTTGAAGCCAGACTACCTGCATTTAACAGCAGTGAAGACTTCAGAGACTGTTAGAAAATGCAGAATATTTCTGATGACTTACTTAAAAATAATTATTTCTCTAGACTAGCATTTCACAAGCACAGAAGTTGAATGGGATGTTAACAAAGGTCAAGCCCTTAAAAAGATTCTGATGTCAACTAAATCAAGAAATGCTGCAGAATACAGTTAAATATGGGTTTCTTTGTGGGGGGGGCAGTAAATATGGGTTTCTTTTTGGGGGGCGGTAAATATGGGTTTCTTTTTGGGGGGGCAGTAAATATGGGTTTCTTGGGGGGGTAAATATGGGTTTCTTTTTTTGGGGGGGCAGTAAATATGGGTTTCTTTTTGGGGGTGGTAAATATGGGTTTCTTTTTGGGGGGCGGTAAATATGGGTTTCTTTGGGGGGGGCGGTAACTATGGGTTTCTTTTGGGGGGGCAGTAAATATGGGTTTCTTTGGGGGGGTAAATATGGGTTTCTTTTTGGGGGCGGTAAATATGGGTTTCTTTGGGGGGTAAATATGGGTTTCTTTATGGGGGGCGGTAAATATGGGTTTCTTTGGGGGGGTAAATATGGGTTTCTTTTTGGGGGGCGGTAAATATGGGTTTCTTTTTGGGGGGTAAATATGGGTTTCTTTTTGGGGGCAGTAAA